AAATTAATATATTTAAATTTAATTAAAAATTAGTCTATATAAAATTTTATAATTTAATTAAAATAGATATTTTTTCACAGAAAATAACGAAAAGAAAAAGTTATAAGAATACAATTTAATTTTTTTCATAGAAAATAGAAATAAACAATAAGAGAGAGAAAAATAAAAATAGAAACTAATCAATAGAAAAAAAATTAACCATAACTCTAATATTCGTAGAAGGAAAAATGAAAGAGAAATACTAAAAAAAAAATACATATTATTTATTTATTTTTTGTGAAAGTCTTCCAAAATCATGTGATTAATAAGAGACAAATTTTAAGACTTGTTAGTACTAAAAATCTCCAAAAGTCATTAAAATATGAATACCCCAAGACTTACAGAGACTTCTGAAAAGTTTTAATTGAATACACCGTGACTCTAGAAACTTTTTAAAAGTCTATAAAAAATTCAATTGAACACATTGATACTTTTAGAAAGTATCCAAAAGTCAATATTGAATACTTCTAAAATTTTAAAATCCCAAAAAGTTATTTAAAGTTTCAATTCAATACACCTCATAATTCGAAGATTACGGAGAAGTAAAAATACTTATAATTTGTGTTGTATATTAATGTTAAAAATTCATTTTTTTTCATTTCTCTGTTTTCTAGTACTTTGTGCTTCGCGGAAAATGTCTAGAAAAAAATTATCTTACTTGACATACACAAGATTTGCTCTAGCATTCTAGATCCTCGTGGATTGTTAAAAGACTATATACTCGAATAACTTGAACCACGTTTGATACGAGTAGTTCAACCTAATTGTGTAATACAATTTGCTACCTTGCAGTGCTTACGTATCAAACTCAAAACCAAGATGAACTGGCCAAAAGACTCGAGCAAGATAAACTTTGAGCTGGCATGAACTTAGCCCTCGAAGCGATAGTAGCTAGAAACAGTACAAATTAAGGTTACACAATAGTTATTGCCGTGACGTGTTAGGCTCCTTTTGTCATAAATTTTATCCATCTGCTAACTAAAAATAAGTAGTAGTATCATTTACGTGGGCCTTATAAGAACAAAACTGGCTGTGCAGATGATTCACTCCCCATTACTCTTTCTCAATTAGGGTAACAAAATGACATTTTGAATCAACCACTTTTGATGACATTTTGGGTTCACAATCACCCCTCCCCAGCTATAAATACCCCCCTTGAACCCAAAATTGAGTACAGAAGCTTGAGCACAGAAGTTAAGTAAAGAAAATAATGAAGGGATTTGCAGTGACTTTGTTGGTGGTTGTAGCCATCGTTCAGATGTTTATGTCTAAACCTGGAGAAGCCGTTTCTTGTGGCCAAG